GGCCAGACCCTCCTCATTAATATCCTCCTCTCCCCTCATTCTCATACAGATCCCACAAACATCCTTTCTCAGAGCAACCAGGTTTCCCACGTAGGCTGGAGAGAGGAGGAGGAGTGTGGCAGCAGAAATCACAGAGCAAGGCTGGGCGCTGTGGCTCACACCTGTAATCCCAGCAGTTTAGGAGGCCGAGGCGGGCGGATCACCTGAGGTCAGGAGTTCGAGACCAGCTTGGTCAACATGGTGAAACTGTCTCTAATAAAAATACAAAAATTAACCAGGTGTAGTGGTATGCACCTATAATCCCAGCTACTTAAGAGGCTGAGGCAGGAGAATGGCTTGAACCCCTGAGGTGGAGGTTGCAGTGAGCTGAGATTGCGCCACTGCACTCCAGCCTGGGCAACAAGAGTGAAACTCCATCTCAAAAAGAAAAAATAAATCACTGAGCAAGAGTCAGTCTTCAAGTACATCTGGCAGTTGTATTTCTAACCACAAATGAATCATCTGCAATCTAGCTGATAGGTTTCTGGCGAGTTTGATTAGCATGACTAGGTTCACCTGAACTGGCAACAAGGCACAAACAGGCAAAAAAAAATTAAGCTTCTGGAATAGCAAAGGAGAGGCTTAGCCCTGAAATGACAACTCCACCCGAAGCAGCACTAGGAAGAAGGTGGAGAAAACACAGGATCTACAGACAAGGAAACGCCACCCTTTCCCCAGCCAGGGGACCTCTCTTAAGCCTCAGTTTCCCCATCTTCCAAATGGGTATTTCAACAGGCATATCACTGACTGGACTGCTGCAAAGACTTTCAAGTGCGATGAATGTCTGAAGGGTACTTCATAAAGTATACAATTTTCTCTGTTACTCTAGATGCCTCCATGAGCACCTCTTTTCCAAGGCAGTCACCATAGCAACATTTCAATGTAACCATGTAACCGTGGCTCTGGTCAAACTTAATTTCAGCCATTACTAACAATAAGGGATCTTCAGGATGAATTATTTTCTTCAATTTACAGAAAATTATGAGCCCTTCATTTGAATGCACTCCACTTAACCAATCACTTTTTATTCAGTTGAACTTATAATGGGAAAAATGCCTTATTTTGTAATAATAGAAATAAATTAACTGGATTCCTGAAACCAGTCCCTCCAAACAGAGCTGCCTGGACATATACACCCAAACCAGGAAAACAGCAAAACCTGGCTGGGCGTGGTGGCTCATGCCTGTAATCCAAACACTTTGGAGGCCGAGGCAGGAGGATCGGAGTTCAAGACCAGCCTGACCCACATGGTGAAACCCCGTCTTTAAAAAAGAAAAAAAAAGAAAACAGCAAAACCCACCACTAGGAAAATAATTTAGTTCAAATTTAATTTAGTCACAAATTAATTCAAAGAGCAACATTAATCACTGCCACTTTTTCAGCCCTGAAGAGATTCAAGTGAAAATGCTAAGCATTTTACACACACAGTCTCAGTTAACCCTCTCAATAACCCTGAGGTGGCTACGATTGCCCATAACCTGGCCAAGGCCAACACTGAGCCCTTCTGACAGGCCAGCCCGTTTATGTATTATATATTCCTGTGCCTTTCCTCCCAACATCACTGCAGCTGGAAATGGCAAACAAGTATACATGATATTTTACTGGGAACTCTGCCATACATTAAAACATTCAACCTTTTACATAGTTTGTCCACCAGATGTAACACATTAACTCAAATAAAACGTGTTACTTTATGACAACGTGTTACTTAAAACATGCCAAGACAGAGGCCAGGGGCTTGTGGACCCACCCACATTTACCCCACCTCGAGAAGATACCAGAAAGTAAACCTCGGTAAAATTACAATGACAGAATTTCAGAGCAGGTGGGATCTTAAAGGTTACATGAAACCAAATGTCCTAATTTTTCAAAAGTGAAAATTGAGACTCAGAGCCAGTGACTTTGTCAACTTCCCCCAAGCAGCTGGGAACAAGCTATAAAGTAATTCCTGGCTCATGGCCCATACTCTTCCCACTGCCCTGGGCACTGCCTCGTCCACTGTGACCTCAAAACTTTAAGGCACTCATTTCTACCTCTTTACCACCAAACCGTTACAAATAAAGCACACAGTTTTGTTTTCCACAGCTTCTCCTTCCCCAGGAATGCTGAAAAGAGTTGCCATTAGGCAAACAGAAGAGGAGGCAGAGCAGCCCCAGGCAAAAAGCCCTGGCCAGTGCTTATCACTCAACTGTTAGCTTGGCGGAGGGTGGGAACAGATAAAGAGGGCCACGTGAGCCACTCAAGAGGACAGCATTTTCCTGGCAAGGAGATGCTGCCGGCTCCTTGGGGGAAGGAAGTAGGACACAGGAGCGAGAGCCTGGCCAACAAGTAAGTACTGGCTGAACTACTACTACCTGGGCAAGGACTCACTCCTGAGCCTATTTACTTTTTCTACCAAGAACAGACTATCTTGCCAGGCACGCTGGCTCACGCCTATAATCCCAGTACTTTGGGAGGCTAAGGTGGGTGGATCACCGGAGGTTGGGAGTTCAAGACCAGCCTGACCAACATGGAGAAACCTCGTCTCTACTAAAAATACAAAAAAAAAAAAAAAAAAAAAAATTAGTCAGGTCTGGTGGTGCATTCCTGTAATCCTGGCTACTCAGGAGGCTGGAGCAGGAGAATCGCTTGAACCGGGAAGCAGAGGTGTGGTGAGCCGAGATGGAGCCACTGCCCTCCAGCCTAGGCAAGAAGATCTAAACTCCGTTTCAAAACAAAAACAAAAACAAAAAACCATCACAACGTGTCTGACACTGAAAGCCACCTGGTTCCAGTTCCAGCCCCTTTAGTCCTTTAGTCCCGCATTGTCACCACAGGGAAATTTCTGACACATCTGAACATGTCTCCTCTCCAACAGCCTGCCATTTTGTGAACTGTGAAGTCTTTAACTTGGTCGGCGATCCTGTTTCCTATCTTACTACTCCTAAAATCCTTGGAATCTCCAAAGTGCTGTCATTTTGCATGCTAATGAGCTGACTGGGACAGATAGCCCCTGCGTAGCTTCAGGAGGGGGCTTATCACCAGAACGACCAAGGTTTAGATCCTTGGGACTTTCGGCCGCACCCACTAACCTGGGGAAGAGGGGGCTAAAGATTAAGTTGATCACCAACGGTCTCATTAAGCATGCCTACATAAGGAAGTCTCCATAAAAGGCCCCAAAGGGCTGGGTTCTGAGAGCTTTCTGAGAACTAAATACAAACGTGCCGAGGTTTTTGAGGATGGCGCTCAGGGAGGGCAGGGAAGCTCTGCACAGCTTCCCCGATGCCTCGCCCTATGCGTCTTTTCATCTGTATCCTTTGCAGTATCTTTTATGACAAACCAGTAAATGTGAGCATTTCCCTGGGTTTTGTGAGTTGTCCTATAGTAATTTTATTTTTTTCAGACAGTCTTGCTGTATCCCAGGCTGGAATGCAGTGGCAAGATCTCAGCTCACTGCAACCCCCTCCTCCTGAGTTCAAGCGATTCTTGTGCCTTAGCCCCCCGAGTAGCTGGGATTACAGGTGTGCACCACCACGCCCAGCCAATTATTTTATATTTTTAGTAGAGATGGGGTTCTGCCATGTTGGCCAGGCTGGTTTCAAACTCCTGACCTCAGGTGATCCACCCACCGCAGCCTTCCAAAGTGCTAGAATTACGGGCATGAGCCACTGAGCCCAGCAAGTTAATCAAACCTAAGGAAGGGTAATGGGAACCCCAACTTGAAGCTGGTGGATCAGAAGTTCTGGAGGCCCAGACTTGGACTGGTGTCCCTTGTCCGAAGGGGTGGAGGCAGTCTTGGGGGACTGAGCCCTCAACTTGCAGGATCTGATGCTATCTCCAGGGAGACAGTGTCAGAACTAAATTGAAGATACCCAGATGGTGTCTGTTGTACAACTGATTGCCTGCTTGGTGGTGGGGAGAAACCTCTCCTCATATTTGGTCACAGAAGACATCTCTGTTGATTGTGGTTGAGAGAACAGAAAAAGCACTTTGGGTGTTTTCCCACACATGGGTTCTCTTCAGGACCCCTAGCCCAGCATGGTCCTGGCCCACTCCTGAGACTCCGCCTCTCCTCACCCTGGCCCACTGTGTCCTGTGTGCCTCTCCTGTGTGGTCATTAGGCTATAGTGATGCACTGATACCCAGTCACCCTGAAGCACCGCAGCAACCACAGGCCTTATGGTATCAGGACAGAAACCTCACTTCAAAAGTTCAGTCCCCAGGCTCAGACAGGAAAGAGCGGGAACCAGGCTTCTGGGCCTGGGCTTTCAGAAACTTAGCCCTGTTCCAGGAAGTCACATTCCCCACAACCACCGCCTTGGTCCAGGTCACCCCCATCTCTCACAGGGTCTTGCTTCTTCCAAAAAAAGTCTCCCAACCACAGGCACATGGATTGTTCAAAAACACACCAGCTGCTGCCTCTCTCCTCCTGAAGCCCTTCAATGCCCTCTCACTCCGTTAAAGCACCAAACCCTCCACTAGGCTTACACTGGGCATGCTTTAGTCCCGACTGGCTCTCAGAATCACATCCTCTTTCTTGTTACCCCCACCTCAAACCCAGCACTCTGCAAAAGTCCCAGCTTCTCCCATTCTGAGTCTCTACGGGGACACTTCCCTCACTTCTCCCACTGCCCACCTCCCATCTTCCTTCAGCTCAGCTGGGTCACTTCTCAGGGCAATGGCAAGTGCAGTCGTTCAATAAAGGGTCAATGGCATGGGGGGCCTGGGGGATTGTCGGCAGTTAGCACTCCCTCCTCCACCACCTTCATCAGGTGCGCTCCAGCCACACCTCCCGCCGTCCAACACTGTGTGGGTGGCAGCCTCTCTGCCTTTCCCCGTACTGGCTGTCCCCTGGAAGTGTGCCTAGAATGACCCTGGCAAACTTCTCAACCTTCAAGAATCAGCTCACCTGTTACTTAGCACCTCCTCCCCCCACTCCTAAGAAGCCCTCCTTATGACCAATCCCTTCCCCAGAATCCCACCCTTTCTCAGAAGGGTTCCCGTCCAGCGCGGCGACAGCTTCCTCCTCCAGGTTAAAACGACCTACTTTCCTTATGCCTCGGTTCCCTAGGTCCTGACAGCAGGGACTGTGTCATCTCCAGTGTCAATTCCTGGAGCTTATCAGGCATTCAAAAAAAAAAAAAAAAGTTAGTTCCTTGAATGAAAAAATTAAGAGGAGGAGACAACCTAAAAGCGCCCCCATGTGCCCTAACTCGCTCCCTCCTCCGTGCTCGGGACACTGTCCTGTGGGGCCCCCTGAGTCTCAGCAGAGCATTGAAAGTTAAACCCGGCCCCGCACGTGCAGGCGCAGGGACCACGGCCCACGTCCGCCGGAGATCGCGGTCCGGCGCGCTGTTACCGCCTTAAGTTATCTCCGGCCCTGGGAACACTGCACCCGCGCCCCGCAGATCCAGGGACCCCGTGGTGGAGAAACCCAGCGCCGAGATCAGTCGCAGGAGCCTCAGGGTGGGCGGCACGGCAGCTCGGGGGCTCGGACACTGGAACTCACGGCTCCCCCCAGGAAGCTAGGGGACCAGGGGGCTTCGGAGGCGGCCGCCGGAGGCAGCGCCCAAGGGAACCTCGAGAGTTTCCGGAACCAACGGTTCTCAGAGCCCACCAGCGGCCGAGGTGCTCAGCGGGGTCTCGGATTCCACAGGAACTCTTGGGCGTTTCGAGGTTCGCGGGCCTGGAGGGGGTCTCGAGGGCAGGGGCTGCAGGGGGAGCCGAGAGGAGGTCCTGGGGTGGTCCGGGAGCCGGGGCGGGTCCTGAGGGTCTCGGAGTCCCCCCAGGGCTCCGGATGCCGGGGCCGCGGCCCGCCCCGCCCCCTCACCTGCGGCGCCTCCGAGACGCTGGTCCCAGCTCGCGCTCCGGCCTCTCCTCCAGCTCCACCGCGGGTGACTACGCCTCCGGGGTCTCTCGGCCGCGCGCCCCTCACGCGGGGCGGGGCGGGGGGACGGTCCTCGTGGGGGACTGCGCGCGCACGCGGGCTGAAGCGAGAGCCAGAGCCTGAGCCGGAGTCGGAGCCTGAGCGGACGCTGCGCCGCCTCCAGGCGCCCCTACGCGTTAGCCGGCAGCGGCGCCGCCTCAAAGCCTTCCCCCGCGCGCCCTCCCTCGCCGCGTGAAGGTTCCGTTCGAAACCAACCGCCCCACAGCGCCCAGAAGCCCCGCCCAGGGAGGGCGGAGGCAGGACGCGCGTCCCCGCCCTCCGCCAGCACCATTGACCCCGCCCACCGGGAAGGTCACGCCCCCGGAGTCTCCGGCGCAGGCGCGGTCGCATGTTCGGGAAGCGCCAGGGCGCAGAGTAGGCGTCACAGCCCCACCTGGACTGGCGAGCGGCGCGTTCGGTTTCCTCATCTCTAGAATGGGGGTGGGAGCACTTGGGGGGACTTGGCGGACATCAAGTGTTATCGGAAGGGCTCCTCTGCAGCTGCGTCCTGCACCACACTCAGGCACAGCTTCTGTCCCCAGCCCGAGGCAGGCCTAGCCTGGGGCTGGTCTTAGTCCCCCAACAGACTCCTGCCCGTTTAAACTGGCCAGCACCCTCCCCAGCCCTACCTTTATTTTCAGAGTGCTTGTCATTCTCCGAAATCAGGAGCGCCTGTGACTGGCTCCCCCTTCCCGCGAGAGCAGGTACCTTGTGCGTCTTGTCCACTAGGGGTCCCCAGAAGCCAGCACGGAGCTGGGCACAGCATGGCAGCCTGTGACACGGTAAAAAGCCCCATAAACCTGCATACCTCAGCCATACCTCAGCTTTCTGTTGAAACTGCTTTCTGTAACCCAAATGTGAATAATTAAGGACGGTCATCGCCACGCTACCCAGCCAACGTGTAAACAAATGCTAACCTTGACTTTTGTGAACCACTTAGGTAACAATCAGAATGTCAGAAAGTCCCCTCACCCTCACCTCCACCCAGGTGATTTGCAGAATCCACTAGCCCTCGGAATGTCTGAAGCCCCTCACCCTCACTCCCACGGTGATTTTTACGGGTATAAAAGGTCTTGACACCCTCTTTCGGGGCCACTGGTTGGAGAAACGCGAGTCCTCCGTGGCTGCCGGCAATAAAGACTCTGCAATTTGGCATACATTTGTCTTGGTGTTGACTTTCTATGCTCCCTCCACTACAGCAAGCCCACAGGTTCGTGCGTGTCCTCGCCTCTCCTCCTCCGTGCCTTCCTCGTGCTCGACCCTCATCAAGAAATACTCTTCCCCTTGCCGGGCGCGGTGGCTCACGCCTGTAATCCCAGCACTTTGGGAGGCCAAGGCGGGTGGATCACGAGGTCAAGAGATCGAGACCATCCTGGTCAACATGGTGAAACCCCATCTCTACTAAAACTACAAAAAATTAGCTGGGCATGATGGCGCGTGCCTGTAATCTCAGCTACTCGGGAGGCTGAGGCAGGAGAATTGCCTGAACCCAGGAGGCAGAGGTTGCGGTGAGCTGAGATCGCGCCATTGCAGTCCGGCCTGGGTAACAAGAGCGAAACTCCGTCTCAAAAAAAAAAAAAAAAAAGAAATACTCTTCCCCGAGGCTGAGAATAGGGCCAGCTGCGGTTGGATCCAGCGAGGCCCCCTGACTCCTCGCGCATGCCTGTCCCAGGTTCCGCTTCCGTCAAGCGGGTGTGACCCTAGAACCCTCCTAGCAAGTGTTGCCAGGACTAAGTGAGAGCATGCGTGGGTAGGCTGGGCACGGGCTTACTTACTTACTTAACGATCTTACTCTTCCTCCCTTGTCTGCCACTGAAGTCTTTCCCTTACCTAAACAGGACCCAATCCAACTCAGCCGCTTCCTCTTCCCAGCCTGCCCTGCCCAAGCTGGAGTCAATTATTACTTCCTCTCTCCTCAACGCCGTTTTTCCTGCCTGATTTTAAAGTTGGCTGTTAATACCTCCCCCCACCCAGCTCATAAGGAAGCTCACATTTTGTGACAGAAGCTAGTGTTTGCAGCCGGTGAAATTTGAGGGTGCCCAGAGCCAAGAACACTGTGGGGGGCAGTGTCTCTGGGATGAAGAGGGCGGGCCCTGGGGTTAGTATATGGGGTCAGGCACCCCCTGAGCACTTTGCACTCGTTCCTTCTTGTTCCTAGAACAACCCTATGAGGAAGGCGTCTTCATTGTTATCCCAATGTAACAAAGCGAAGCTCAGGCTCAAGAGGTTGTGTAGTTCCAAGCCTCAGCCCACATCTAATCACCACTCCCTAATCACAGCTCCCCAACCCCTGGAGGCGGGATTGAAATCCAAAAAAAGGCCAGGTGTGGTGGCTCACACCTGTAATCGCAGCACTTTGGAGGCCAAGGTGGGTGGATCATTTGAAGTCAGGAGTTCCAGACCAGCCTGGCAACATGGCAAAACCCCATCTCTGCTAAAAATACAAAAATTAGCTGGGTGTGGTGGCAGGTGCCTGTAATCCCTGCTACTCAGGAGGCAGAGGCAGAAGCATCACGTGAACCTAGGAGGCAGAGGCTGCAGTGAGCTGAGATCACACCACTGCACTCCAGCCTAGGCAACAGAGAAAGATTCTGTCTCAAATAAAAAAAAAAAAATTTCAGTTCATGAATACATGCTCTTGTACTGGGTGCTGAAGCCCTGGACCTGTGGGAGACATGGCCCCTGCCCCCAAGGAGCTCCCAGGCCCCAGAAAGGATTTCAATTAATAGGACCTTATGGGCTGGGTGCTGCAGACCCAAGGCTCTGTGCAGGGCATCCTCTGAAGGGTGGTGAGACCAAAGCAATCATAACCTCCGCCACATTCAGCACCATCCCAGACAGGCTGGGAGTCTCAGCCCCTCCACCCAAAAACTCAGCCAGTCAGCCTTACAAGAACAAGGCCTCCCCTTTCCCCACACCCAAAAGAGATGCAGCTTTTCTTAGGTTGTGGAAAATTACTGAGAGGCACTGTTCCTGGGCACTTTGACCATTCTGAGTAGATAAGGGGACAGACATGCCAGGTTGGCAGGGGGCCGGCATGGTGCCAGTGTTTGGGTGTGGCACGTCACTGGATACTACAGGGTGTCCGTGTCTGCCTCAGCCTCCACACAGCTGATGTGAGCATAACTCATACTAGTGAAGATGCATGTGCACGGCAAGGCTTGTCACCAGGAGCCCAGCTACCAGACCTGGTCCATTTCTTTCCTTTAAAAAATTTTTCAAATTAGGGATTTCCCACTCTGGGTTCCCTTCCACACCACAACAGCATGGGAGCTGTCTTCTCTCTTTCTCTCTCTCTCCCTCTCTGTCTAATAAATTGCTCTTCCACAAAACTCTTTGGGTCCAAAGAAATTAAAAATAATTTTTTTTAAATTTTTTTCCCTTGAGTTGGAGTCTTGCTCTGTCGCCCAGGCTGGAGTGCAAATGGCACAATCTCGGCTCACTGCAATCTCCACCTCCAGGGTTCAACTGATTCTCCTGCCTCAGCCTCCCGAGTAGCTGGGATTTCAGGCGCCCGCCACCATGCCCAGCTAATTTTTGTATATTTTTTAGCAGAGATGGGTTTTCACCATGTTGTCCAGGCTGGTCTCAAACTCCTGACCTCAGGTGATCCACCCCCCCCCTTGGACTCCCAAAGTGCTGGGATTATAGGCGTAAGCCACCACGCCCAGCCATTTAAAAAAATTTTTTAATTAATTATTTTTCATGGAGACAGGGTCTTACCATGGTACCTAGGCTGGTCTTGAACTCCTGGGCTCAAGTGATCCTCCCACCTCGGCCTCCCAAAGTGCTGGGATTACAAGCATAAGCCACCACGCCCAGCCCAGACTCAATCCATTTCTGTATGGAGGGTAGCTTGGGGAGCATTCGTGCATTTGGAATGTACATACCTGTGTGTGCACATATACACCACTGTGTACTGAGCACCTACTGTGTGCCAAGTGCTGTTCCAAGCTCATCATAGGTGTATCTTTCCTCACCATCACTGCCACCTGTGGGGTAGGTATTATTAATCTTCTTTAACAGACCAAAAAACAGGCTGAGAGGCTTTAGAGCAACTAGTCCAAGCTGAACAGTGGGCATACGCTTGGAATTGCTGCTGGGGTCTGTCTGGCTGCAGAAGGAGCTTCGCACTGTCAGAAAAGAGGAGAGCCAACAGATTCACAGGCAGGGTTCCTGCTGGGATGCTCCAAAGAATGGACAGAAAGGACACCAGAGACAACAATCCTCCCATCCTGGAGAGGAAGTTGTTGCTTTATTGTGTGGACAAACCCGCAGCATAACACATACTCACCCTGCACCGGTGTACAAGAACACACCACACGGAGATAACACGCACCATGCAACATACACCCTCACGCTGTGTGTGTCATTACACATACATGCTGTAAACACCCTCATGGAAAAGGAGCTAACGAAGCCTCTTAGAGCCTCCCCACATGCCATCCACATCATGTCTATTTCCTATAGAAACTCTCCTGCTGCTCCCTGCTGCTGGGCAGGCTGGCAGGAAAGACTGTCAAGCCATCGCTGAGCAGCAGGCGGGGTGTGTGTGACAGGCAGGGGAAGGATGGAGGGGAGCCTGTCCCTTGGAAAAGTCTCTCTGGCCCTCCTTCTCCATCAGC